CCCCCGTCCCCGCGGACTTACGCTGCAGAAGTTAATCCCGGTCGAGCTGGTGAGACGAGTTAATCTCCCGGATTAGCGCTCCAGGTGGTAAATCTGGCTTCTGGCCCAGACGTCACGCTCATGACGCTGACCAGTGGACGGTCAAGACCTTCTTCCATACTTCACCGAGGTTTGCTTTTTTGACAGGTCGTTAATTATTTTCTCTCCCACCCCCTTCCAATTTGTCCACCCATTTTTGGTTCTCCTTTTTCTACTTCCAGCTCACTATATTATCATATTATAAATGTATGCACGTCCTTTCTTAGAAAGACATTCTATTTTATATCCACCCCATTATTGTCTCTCCCCCCTCCCCTTGCTAATTTCCCCATCCATTTCGGTTCTCCTTTTTCTACTTCCAGCCCACTATATTATTATATAAATGTATGCACGTCCTTCCTATTTTATATCCAACCCACACCCCTCCCTCCCAACTGGGTACTAGACAAGCTCGATGCTTATCACGAGAACAAGCTAAAAGAAACCACAATGGTACAGGGACGTTTGCAGAGGGTTAATCAAAACCTTCTGTTCATCAGACGGTATTAACACAGAATGGATTTAACAGCCCATGAACGTAAGTCAGTTACAATTCTTCTGGCAAAAAGGCCCCGATTAGCCAGCATTGTTCCGTGAACACTGAACAGAATTATTAAATTGACTGCATGTACACGTATTCCCGTTATGTCATATAAGCAATAGCCAAATTTATACATTGTATACTTTTCGAGTACAATATAAATAACGTGCTGAATAAAACGTTATGTTCCCCCCTCCCCACACAAAAGAAAAACAAACAAACAAAATAACAAACAAAAAGTAACAACAAACAAAACAAAACAAAAGCAATTGAAAAAAAAACAAACAACCCAACCAAATAAACAAAAAGTTTGAAAAAGATAAGAAAAGAAAAGAAAATGCCTCACGCCTTCATCAATATAATGTAGATCATTTAGAATGAGAACGTCGGCTTTTTTAAAGTCTAGTTTTAGTAAGTGTTGTACCGTACGGCACTTGCAACACAATAAGGCCATATAAGTGCAGAAGATTAGAGATGTTACAAGAAAGTAACAAACTCACAAACACACAAAAAGAAGGGGGAGAGATAAGGACTACAGGTATTTGATAGGAAAGAAGAACATTGGCTACTTCGTCAGGGTTAAGAATGGTACAACAATGTTTCAGTAGACAGACGAAGATACTTGATTAACCAAAAAAAAATAAAAATAAAATAAAACCAACCTCTTACTCTTACACGGGAATCAAACC